AATATGGTTATAATCGAATTGAATCGTACCAGAATTAAATTCAATAAACCTATATACGTAGGATTTTCAATTCTGGACATCTCTAAAACATATATTTATGATTTTCACTATAACTACATTAAGAAGACTTTTGGCGAGCAAGCAAAATTAATGTACACCGACACCGATAGCTTGATATACCACTTTAATGTTCCCAACGTATACGAATTAATTAAGCGCGATGTACACAGATTCGACACTTCAGACTATCCGTCGGATAATGTATACGGTATACCATTAGTCAATAAGAAAGTTCTAGGTCTGATGAAGGATGAAAATAATGGTAAAATCATGACGGAGTTCGTAGGACTGCGAGCGAAATTGTATAGTTTTCGAATTTTAGGCGAAACTAGGGATAGGAAGCGTGCGAAAGGAATCAAAGGATCTACGTTAAAGACCATAACCTTCGATGATTATCTACAGTGTCTCGAGTGTCGAAAAAATTTGATTAAACCTCAAAATTTGATTCAAAGCAAAAAGCATGAGGTTTATACTGTTGAGCAAAAGAAAACAGCATTAAGTTGGAATGATGATAAGAGAGTGATTGTTGCTCATACGACGGATACCCTCCCATGGGGTTATAAAATATGTTAAAATATGTAACCGTGTGCAAGGAAAAAAAATGAATTTTTCATCATAACCTCAACGCGTACCAATCATCTGGATGGCATCATCCAAGTGTTTATTGTCCTGAGTGCAATATATACAATGGTCAAGTGGACCGTTCGCTCGTGTGTGCATTTGGATCCTAGTTTTTCTAGGAACTACAAGTGGGGTAAGCTGGAGCGATTCATCCGACTCGACTCAGCCGTTCGACTCAGAGTTAGAATAGTATACGCAACCATGGTGCGAGGATGTCAAATAATGTTGAGCGTGAGTGTAGTGTCCTCTAAGTTTCTCTTAATACACTAAGTATTTCAAAGAAGTTTTAGTATATAAGGTGTTGTTTCATTATTACAGCTTAACGGATTCATATCGATAAAAGAAATGGTGGCAAAGAGGAGCCAGCGACGGGCTAGGAGGAGCGAAAACAACGGCTGGTTCCTCTTCGAGGAGGAAGATTGGGGCGGGGAAGATATTTTTTCTTTGAGACATCTTTTCGGGATGCGTCCCGCTAGTTGGATATAATTGGTGCGTATATTAATCAATTCTATTTACACATAGCGAAGAGGAGCGAACGGCGGGCTCGACGTAAATACAATGGCTGGTTCCTCTTCGAGGAGGATGATTGGGGTGGAGAGGATATTTTTTCCTTAAGATATCTTTTCGGGATGCGTCCCGCTAGTTGGATATAATTGGTGCGTATATTAATCAATTCTATTTACACATGAATAGTAATATCATTATTATCTATTTTTGCAGGGACTCTGACTACGAATCGGAGGAGGAAATATATTAAAAAAAAAAAAAAAATTGGATATAATTGGTGCGTATATTAATCAATTCTATTTACACATGAATAGTAATATCATTATTATCTATTTTTGCAGGAGGAAATATATATAAAAAAAAAAAAAATAAAAAAATAAAAATAAAAATAAAAATATTTTTTCATATGTTCTTTTAAATAAATTTTTTATACATTTTAAAATTATTTATTGTAAGTTTTGTTTTTAAATAAATTTTTTATACATTTTAAAAATTAATTATTGTAAGTTTTGTTTCATTTCAAACTCCTTATAAGTTCGACCTATTAATCCAAGTGTTATGCGATTCATCGAAACCTAACCATTTA